TTGATTAACGGTTTGTTGTCGCTACCGTGTTACATTTTATGGTGTGACGCTTCTCACCCTTTTACCCCGTATGGTACGTATTTGCACTTTACCGGTCGCCTATGAGACTTACCTAGACATTGAAAACACAGGCTGTTACGCTTGGCCGGGTCCCATCTTTCGCTCATGGTTAATTTAGCAAAGTCCGCACACCCTATGACGTTGTGATTACCGAAACCCATGATGCATGCTTCATTCGATTCCACCGATAACTCGACTATCGGTCGTGATTGGTGTGATTTCGATGTCTGCCTTTTTTTTAGACGGTTTATTTATGGATGCTATCGTTTTACGCGGCGAGTTGTTAACGGCTTCCGATCGGTCACACGAGCTGTCACTGCTCTCGTCATGGTGCAGTATGTGACGTCAGTTTCGATCGCGGACCGTGTTCACCACGCGTGTCTTTATTCTAGTAACCTTGTGGTCGTCTCGTACTGTTTCGTTTGCAAACATCGCGCCGCATTAGTCTGCCATATCGTTTAAAAATCTATATAGCAATTCTAGCTCCGGCGCTTCGTTGCGTCTCGATTTAAATTCGTACCATTTATATTTTAAAATAATACTTAGCTTTTCTACAACTCGGCTTATTATCTCAGGCGAGTAGAGATATTGCGGCTGATCGAGTAATTTTATTGCCGCTACTGTATTGGATATTTTGCTCGCGAAACTACCTATATTGTGCCCGTCTTCAGTCACGCGAGGCATACGTTTTATATTTTCTAATTCAGAAAGTATTAATAGTTCCGGTTTTCCGTAACGCCTTTCTAATGTATCCATGACTTCATATGGGTCTGATACTGTGAATAATAATGCTCTAACCGTTTCGCGAGCCGCGCCTCTTAACGCTTTTCATAACCTGGCTACATTTTGTACGGCAGTAAACATGCTTCCCATGTCGTTAAAGACGGATTTGAAAGCCATCCACTCTGAAATCACCCCGTCGAAATGAGGTAGCTCGTGAATGTATTTCAGGAAATTAGTCCAATTGAGAAGATCTACAAAAATGGTAAAAAATGTCAAGTTTTAAAACCAAGTTGGCCGGATATAATAGCAAAAACATGTGGCTTGATGTAAAGCTTCCATGTATATATAATTTCAAGAGACACATTATAGATGATATTAAATCGTGCATCAAAATAGATGATTATTGTAAAACATCGAGTGCCACATTGAAAATTACTTGTGATGACAAACTATCAGTGTTACGGCCTACGGCTGCTCCTCCAAAGGTTCAATCATCCGGGGCCCATCAGCGGAGACTTCACGAGCAGACGTAGGTCGGGCCTCAATATGGCCGCGTGGAATATGTTCTATCACAATAAACTATATGGGAGAAAGCTAGAAACACATAGTACTTACCATTATCCGAAGCTAACTTCGCACCAAGGCTTGGGCAGGCCGTGAGTGTATGTAATAGTGGATGGCGAGTAGTGTACAGTGAGGTGTAAATGTCTGCGACCTGAGCAAGCTTAGGCGACCAGCAGTGGCCGAGTTCCAGGCTGCCCCAAAATGCTGCATCGCTCCCGCAGGCTTGATCGCTGGACCATTTCTTTCTTCATTGTCACTAATTCAGTCTCTTAGTTTCATTGTACATTTAACTAACTTCAATTCGCCTAATTCCACACTCATCACAGAATCGAACACGTGATACCCGACAGATGCAGCGTTAAACACAACTAAGTTCCTTCATTCGACACCAGAACAACACGTCGCGTCAGAGTCAATAATACGCCTCGTTGACACGCGAATTAATCTAACTAGCCAACCAAACACAAAAGGGGCACTAAACGCGACGACACAATTATAATGATATCTTGACAATTAACCGGGAGAAGCTCTCAACCAAGGAATCCTAGACCGTATATCTACTAGACGCGCGTACACTATTCCGCACTCTCGCCCGAGTTAAATATCGCACAATTCACACACACGCACAAGACACCGACGTTTTGCTCACGCGTCGAACTGCCCACGCGTCGAGCGAGCGACTAGCCCACGCGTCGAGTACGGTCGCCCCACCTTGGCGCTTATCTCACCTAAATACCATCGGGTGAGGCACCAGCTCGAACGCAATTGGTTGGCGTTAAAACATGACCAAATTTGGGCATAAACAATCAGAAATTGGTGAATCAATTAAATTCACAGTTAAAAGTACAAATACTCGTGGAAAACCTCACTCAGATAAAAGAAGATTAGCAGGGTGTCACAAAAACCAAGTGAAGGTCAACTGAAAAAAAAACCAAAGCAGTGGCAGCAATAGGAAGCAATAGGAATTGGCGGCTACAGATATGGATCATGATGATTGTGAGCCACCATTTCTTTATAAATTATCAGTGTTACAGAAGGCTTCACAAAAAACAAAGAATGAAGCATTTGGGATTATCCTTGGAAAATTAAACAGAATCCAGAGTTTAATAAATTTATCAAAGAAATTGGCTATGATAGATTATTTACAACATTCTGGTCCGCTGAACAAATTGGTGTTCATAATCAGATTCAGAAGCTTTTACAACACCTGTATGTTTCGATGCAACAGCATCTGTTACTTTCAAAATTAATAGAGCTAGTGGTGAAAGCAGGGACGTTTATTTATATGTTATATTGTCTCACATAAACAATTTACTAGTTCCACTGACTCAAGCCATTTCTGAAAGAAATGATACAATTTTCTTGACTTTATGGCTAACTGATTGGCGAAGATCTGGAGCTAATGTACCATCACCGATAATTACAGACATGGGTAAATGTCTTCAAAATTCTGTAGCGCTAGCTTTTAATAATGTAACATTTACTTCATGCAATGACATCTGTTTACTTATTTTATTGAAGAAAGAAGATTCAAATATTAAGATATTTAAGCTTTTAACATACATTCGAACCGATGTAGCACATCTACTGCATACAGTATCTAAGTGGCCTGGTTTTTTTAATGTTCACCTAGAGTCAAAGATCTTTACATGCGATAAAACTACTGAATAGATTTTAATTAGGTTTTCGAAGTTTTATTTCTTAGACTTGACTCTTACCTAAAAATAATAATAAATGCGTTATCTTCATTTATTATAAAGTTATTAAAGTTTTAATAACGCGGATGAAGTCATGGGTATCAGCTAGTTTTCCAATAAAAAAATGATCTGCGTACACTTGCTACTAATGAGACCAATAAGGAAAACCTCGGAATATAAAAATCCTATACTGTACATTTCTACGCCGCGCATGCGACAATGCCCCAAACGCATTCGACACTTATCATTTTATTAACTTTTTGCACTTAATATTGCATTTTATGCATTTTTAAAGATGGTGCAACTATATTCATGCAAGGTGCAGTTTTTATATATAGAAAAATATAAAATATGTTCGTGGTTTTTTCACCATTGAAGTAGAGTGTCGTTTTCAGATGCAATTAGATTAGGATGGTCGTTCTTGTATAATCAAAACAATGATTCACGAAATACTAAATAAATGCTAGCGCACTTCTCGAGTTCGCGCGCAAACGTAAACAACGAAGTGACAGCATTGTTGCCGTTCCGTGCGCCCAGTTATGCGATCGCGCATTCTCGTAAAAGAACCGCAGCGCCCAAGCGATTTTGTCCATCCGAATCACCGAAGTTCGCGTTTATTCATTGAATTCGAGTAATAATTTATAAGCATTGATGATTTTATCGTTGTCATTGCACGATGAAATGATTTTAACATGTTACATGATATCGATATTGGACTCATCTTTACTGGTATACAGTAATCTGTGGAGGCACTGCCTGTGAGTTTGTTGAGAGTTTTGGCGGGAACTTGACCGGCGATGGATTGCTACTCCTGTATTATTGTTTAAATAATGGTTTGAAGTGGATTTTAATATGTAAAAGTGGTGCGATTTTGTGTATTAAATGTCTGCGCATGTGAACTATTAATGAAAACGGTGAAACAAATGCTCTGATGGTGATGTGATTCTCAAGATAAGGTCTCTGTCAGCTGTCTGCTGGCTCAAGTTGCCATCAAAATCTCCCAAGGGCTGCACAATGTGACGCATCAACATATTGTGAAGCAGTGTAAACTATGCAGGATAATTATTATACATTGTAACTTCAGGCTCAGAAGGCTTAGAACCCAGAGGCGTAAAGCCAGCTATTAAGAAGAATGTTTGTTGACAGGCTCAGAAGGGCAAGAACCCAGATCCGTAAAGCCAATTTAAAAAAAATGAGTTTGTTGGTTTGTTTTAATAACTGGCTTTACGGCTCTGGGTTCTAGCCCTTCTGAACCTGAAGTTACAATGTATAATAATTATCCTGCATAGTTTACACTGCTTCACAATATGTTGATGCGTCACATTGTGCAGCCCTTGGGAGATTTTGATGGCAACTTGAGCCAGCAGACAGCCGAAAGTTGGCGATGGTATCTCAAGGCGCCTAAGCAGACAGACACCATATCTTGAGAATCACATCACCATCAGAGCACTTGTTTCACCGTTTTCATTAATAGTTCACATGCACAGACATTTAATACACAAAATCGCACCACTTTTACATATTAAAATCCACTTCAAACCATTATTTAAACAATAATACAGGAGCAGTAATCCGTCGCCGGTCAAGTTCCCGCCAAAACTCTTTTATTGGTTTGTTGCACGGAAGTGTACTAAGTACATGTATTTCCATGGTTTGTTGCAAGGACAATTACTATACTCTTTGGTTTGTTGTCTAATAGACTAATATTAGCCGTAAAGCCAGTTTAAAAAAATATATATAGTTTGTGGATGAATGATAAGGTATAAAATCTAAATCCACAACACACGGTTAAATCAGGAATCAGGATCAAGGAACATACTACTCTCTAACGAGAGATCAGATCGTCAGCTTACCGTTTATAATATTTACCATACGGCCAATAAAGTAAAAACAAGTACACCAACAAAAATTCTTTGAAAACAGTTTAGGATTCCGCAATCCGTAATAACAGGTAAAATGTCGATAGGTAGTGTTTATGAAGCAGCTTATAAAGGCGATTTTAATCAAGTTAAAGTAAGAGTAGATGAAGATAAAAGTATAATCGACACTGCTGACTCGGTAAACATAAAATCTCTTGAATTTATTTATTTAGTTTTATGCGTTGTACATATTTTATTGTCTTTCAGAATGGTCGTCTTCTTATTCATTGGGCTGCGTTAGGTGGTAATGAGAGTTTAGTAGAGTTTTTAATTGAATCAGGTTCTCCGATTAACCCCATAGATGATACAAATAGCAGCCCAATTATATTAGCTGCTTCGGCAGGAAGGTATAATGTAGTAAAGTTACTTATTGCTAAAGGTGCAAATATTAACCACAAAACATCTCGTGGCCAAACACCTTTACACTATGCTTCTTCTAAAGGACATAGAGAGGTATGTGTTTTATCATTTACTTATTTTTTTAATCAATTAATAATAGTTAATTTGGCAGGCAGATTGGCTGCTATTAGTTAAAGGCTATTTAATTAGAACAACCAAGGGAGGATAAAGCTTGGGTCTTACTGTTGGGCCTTGCCTGTGTATGATGTACAGGTAGCATTTACTAGTTATTTACTGTAACCAAATTGTCAAGTAGATTTTATTTCAGTGGATTTATCAAAATGTAGTCTTGGATTTAGAATCGTTTGACATGAATTTCGGGGAGTAAGGTGTTTTATTTTGTTGAGGTTTGGTGCCCAATTACAACAATACCACTAGCATTAAAAGGTAATGCACTGTTTTCTAGTTCTGACATCGCATCCTTTTTTAGGTACACAAAATATGAAGTTATCATTTTATAAAAAATTAGTAACTTAAAAATTATTACTAGTGTCTGACTTAAGGTCAAACAATGGCTGAAATGAAAGCCCATGGTTTGGTTTTTACTGTAACCGTCAGCTCAAAGTTTACTTGTGTTAAACATATCCCTTTATGCACAAGCAACAATTAGAAATAACTAGGTAGGTATGTATAAATGCTGTATTATTATATTATGTACTTGATGATTGTTTTTTTTCAATCGTAATTAATTAACTCATTTCTCAGAAAAAAAAAGATTACCTTAAATTATGGTCATACCACCATGTTCAACCAAAAGTTTAATAATCAGCTCGGTACCAACAGGTGTCAGAAAATAATCTTTATATATTTGTAATATAGCTTGATTTAGAAAATTTTTTACTTAATATTTGTACTTAAAGGGACAAGATGGTGGGTTCTTTAAGTGTCAACCTAATATTAAGCAATAAAATAAAATATATGCTAATAACAGACTTACTGTGTTTTCTCTAAAAGTTGGTACTATTAGAGAGTAATTATTAGAAAATACTGTAATCTATATTAATTGATATTTAGAATTACCTCGCACACTGGTGTCCTATCATCGATAAGTTCAGAAAGCACGGTCCGCTAACATTATTTGTAAAAATAAAGTCATTTGTAATTTTTTTTCCTTTCCGGATGATTTTAGCTGAAGGGTTTTAATAAGTTTCATAGTCTGTAGTACCCTAAAATATTCGGCTACTGTTGCTTATTACTATTTCAGATTGTGAAACTATTAATTGATTCAGAAGCAAGAATTAATGATGCTGATGTATTAGGAGCTACACCTCTCCATAGAGCAGCTGCTCAAGGCAGAAGTAATATTGTAGATTTGCTCCTAGGAAGTTCAGCAATTAAAGTGGATGCCAGTGATTCTTTAGGATGTACTGCATTGTAAGTCTATGCTTAACTCAGTTTTAAATTTAACATTGGACTTATTGAATTTTGGCGGCAACGTCGGCATAGTCGGGAAGGGTCGCCCTAGGCGAAAGTATATCGACCAAATTGGCGATATATTAAAAATGGGCCAAATCAAGAGTTCCTTTAACCGACGAGCGTGTATGCGTAGGTATATGGATGTGGAGGAAGCGAGAGAGGTGTGTCAGGATCGTGCCAAATGGAAGTCCATAATCTCTGCCTACCCCTCTGGGTGACAGGCGTAAGTGTTTATGTATGTATGAATTTTGGCCTCTACTAAGTTCATTTGAAAAGAAAACAGTTGTATGTGCTATATATCCAATCTGTCAGTCCAAATTCAGGCCTGTCACCTGTCAGGTATTTAACAAGCGATGGGGAAAACATAAATCGCTTAAAACTATTAGTTAAATGCATCGTTCACTAATAAAAAACTAGATGCACAATCCCATACAAAAGTTCTCTAAAAACTGTCGCCAAATGTTTTGACGTAATTCTAGTTGATATAAATATATATTAATGTAAATTCAATCTTAAGTGATATGCTTAAAGTTGTATTCACAAAGCAACATACAAAAAGCAATAAAATTTTACGACCGAGGCTCTTCGCTTGGACTAGGAGAGTGGAGTCGAACCGCACAATATTTTTTGTTACTGTAATTATAATTTTACAATTTTTTTAAACTTGTTTTAAATAATTGGTCTACTTAATAAAGCATATTCTATTCTATTCTATGGTGTATATGTGTAATGGTTATATTATTACCTGAATGTAAATATGCTTTTGTATAAGGCACCACATTCATTTAGTAATAATTGAAACAGTCATAATTATTTATTTATTCTTTATCTTGTGTGAAAAATTTAAAGATATTGCTTGACAAACAAGTTAAATCTAAATATAATAGTTACTAAATATAAAAAATAAGTACAGAAAATTCTTGCAAAATCTAAGAACATTATTGTCCAAATTTTGACGTAATGTTCATATTTACAGGTGTTTAAAAAACGGATAAGACTGAACAATTATAATGATTTCTTATATTTACGCGTTCACTTCACATTTAAATGAAACTAGTTTTACGGATTTTAACGCGTATATTAACTTATTTTATATTCAGTAAAGAACTCTCATTAAACAAAAAAAAATACAATCATACATTAATAACAAAAAAATAAATAAAAAAATACAATAGCGTTTCCACAAATGGAACAGAATCAACGCATATACCTCAAACAGTGATGACTTATTTTATTACGAATTAATTTAAAAAATACTTTTTCGATGATTTCTTGACAAAATATCAGTATTTACAATACAGTTATAACAATTAAATAATGTTAATATTAATATTTACCGAAAATATGAAATTCCACCCTTTTTTAGAGTCCTGGATGTGTGCTTTTTACACTTTTTAAACGAGCACTGAGGCATGTTTACCATCGGAACATTCGAATGCTAATAGATTAAATGTGCACCCATATGTTCGAGTGGGTGCACATTCGGTTATGCCATTTTTTGTCACTGATTGTGTATCTAGTTTTTTATTAGTGATCGATGGTTAATGCCATTTTTTGGATTTGATTATATTATTTTTTTTGCTTATAATACTAAGTGGTTATGAACGTAAAAACTGTTTAAACTAAAATATCAAATATTATATAGAAAATTTCTGATTGTCTAATTGTAAAGGGTTTTACAATTAGACATTAAGGTGGATTCAATTTTATTGTACTTATATTGTTTATCATATCATCTACATTGGTTCTTCTCCTTTTTTTTTTAATTTTATATGTTGCTTAGTCATATTTGTTAACATTTGTCACCAAGTTGCTATTTTATGCATTATTTTTATTAATTTTAAATAGAAACCATTACTTTTGCAGACATCTAGCCTGTGAAGAAGATAGGGAAGCTGTAGCCTGTATGTTAGTTAAGGCTGGTGCAAGCATTGACATAAAAAATAAAGAAGAAAAGACACCACTTGACTTATGTTTCCCAAAGTTGAAAAAAATGTTATGTGATATACTTCATTAAAAACGATTATTGTAACGTTACTTCAGAGTTCTATTATATTGATATGGCTTTTGTTTATATCTTTTATTTTTAATTCTAAAAGAGTAAAATTGTAAATAGCTTAATAGTTACATTATACCAAATAACATAAAATAAAATATTATGATGTATCATCATCATCATCTTTATCACGACTCATAACAATTTTATTAAAAGTTTTTTTAACCATATTATGATGATAGGTGGCGATACGGTCGAAAATGGTATATATTTAAGTATGTACGTATGTATGCTTGTAATTTTGGGCTTAGATATCTGACATATGCTGGACAGATAATGAAAAGGTTAGATATTAAAATATTTTCCTCATTTATTCAAAGGAGACTATGACAGTACAAAGATTCTCACGTGTGAGACCTTACAACAAATGTGCGAGCTGATTCCTAGCCACGGGTTTTGAAGGCACAACCTGTACCATTTCCTCTGATGAAACAAATTGAGGAATAGTTAACGTCTATGGTGAGTGAAAGGAATGTTAACTCCCATAAAATACTCCATTTGGAATTGTAAAAAATAATGATAGCTTCCTCTGCATATGTGGTGACTACATCATCATCATCATCATTACAGCACTTCACAAGTCCACTGCTGAACATAGGCCTCCCCCAAGGAATGCCACAAAGCACGGACCTTAGCCACCTGCATCCATCGACTTCCTGCATGTCTTACCAGGTCGTCACTCCATCTAGTGGGGGATCGCCCTACACTTCGCCTACCGGTACGGGACTGTCACTCGAGAACCTTTTTTCCACATCGATTGTCGGTCCTTCGAGCTATATCCGGTTTTTGTGTGTGGTGTATGACACGCGAGTCGTGTCTTTTTTTTGCACTTGGAAAATTTATCCACAACAAAATATTCATTATTTTGCAAGTAGTTCATGCCTACAGCTTCGTTTCTGGATATTTTGAAAATTTGAAATTTTTAGGGATTGACAACATTTTTTAAAATTATACATGGTACTCTTTACTTTGTGGGTTTTAAATCATGATGCGGAAAAATAGTCTAATAAGTAACAAATAACGGCACTCATTGCGATCGCTCACAAGCTCAAGTAGTAAATAAATTTCTGAAAAACAAGTCTCCTGTTAAAAAAAAACTGCGTTTGTCTTATTGTTTAATTTTGTTTAAAATGGTTCAACTGCCGTCTTATGACTATCATATGGCCGAATAGGCCTACGAAGTACCATGTGCTCTTGTGATATGGTATAAGGTTTATTTTTGTTTGAAACTTCGAAACCGTTCATGCACAAAAAAAGTTCGCTAGTAAATAGTCTTTTGTCAATCCGCCGCCGTATAGCGGCGGCGTTTTTTTCCTTTTGAAAACACTTATTCTGCTATTATTATTATACTATTGCTTTTCTTACTAAGTAGACGTTTTCATATCGACTTTACTTTTACATTTGTATAACATTAAATAATATTTAACATTTGTAAATATCAATGAATCATAAACCTTATTTTTTCCAAATTAAGGTTCTTGATTGTTTGATATTTACAAATGTTATTATTAGTTGAAAATTTAATTTAATAAAAACCAAGGTTTTCCAGGGTGATTTAGCTGTAACTACTTATATAAATGATTTTTTTTTTATAAAACAAAAAATAGTACAAAAGGTTTGTAATCTCTGCATAAAAAAAAGTCACTCTCAATTTCAAAGAAAACACGTAGAAAAACAGTACCCACTAAAGACAAGTATCCCTCCGTTTGTAACTGATGTTTGATGTCAACTACACTTAATTAGGTCTAAACAAGTGAAAAAAGCATAAAAAAGAAAATTATTTTTACACATGGCTGATGGCACGATAGGCATGTCATGAAATATTTGTTCGCGCCACAGCTAAAAGTGGTCGAAAATCGGTGCCGCAACGAATCGGATATGGCTGGCCCATTGCCACTTCAGCTTACTAATCCTTTGGGCTATATCGGTAACTGGATTCTACTGCGGATAACCTTATTTCTAAGTTTATCACACAGAGAAACCCCGAGCATAGCCGTCGCCATAGCTCACTGAGCGAGGTCGGTGAAGGACCAAGGCTGGTGAAGGACCACGTTTCAGTTCCATAGGTCATCACTGGCAATACGCACTGGTTGTACAGTCTAGTTTTAAGTTTTGAGGTATACCTGACGTGAAGATATGCCGTAATTTCCCAAACGCTGCCTAGCAGAGTTGAATCCGTCGATTGACCTCTCGGTCGAAGTTGGACTTACCTAGTCGGACTATTTGTCTTAGGTAAACATACTCGTCAACAACTTTAAGCTTAGTGTCCCCAACAACTACCGGCATATGTGTGACATGGACGTTACACATGACTTTTGTTTTGTCCATGTTCATCTTAAGTCCTATCCGTTGGGAGACACTATTGAGGTCATTGAGCATAGTGCTTAGGTCCTCCAGCGATTCTGCCATAACGACTATATCGTCGGCAAATCGAAGGTGAGTGATGTACCTACTCGTCATTATACGACGTATACGACGTTAATAGCGTGTCCTTTCCAGTCCAGTAGCTTGAAAACGTCTTCCAATGCAGCGGTGAAGAGTTTTGGGGAATTAACGTCACCCTGTCTTAGCCCTCTGCAGTTGGATAGGCTTCGTACTCTGATTCTGTACTCAGATAATCATCGCAGCCCTACTGTACAAACACTTCAGAACTTTGATATACCGGCAGTTAACTTGGCACTTGACTGCAGCACCGCCCAATATTCGACGGAATCAAAGGCTTTCTTATAGTCCACATACGCCAGACATAGTGGCAAATTGTACTTCTCGGACTTCTGTAAAATTTGCCAAAGGGTATGTATGTGATCTAAGGTGTTAAAGCCTTTTCGGAAACTGGCTTGTTCGGGAGGCTGGAAGTCATCAAGTCTGCCTGTGAAACGGTTCGTAAGGTCTCTCGAAAACATTACATGGACGCGGCTCGGAAGGGAAATCGGTCTGTAGTTCTTCAAGAGAGCATTGTCGCCTTTCTTGACGAACAAGACAACCGCACTTCTGCTCCACGCCTCCAGAGTAGTTCCACCATGGAGGATGGAATCGAAGATCTTCTGAAGGACTTTAAGTACCAGTTTTCCACCCGCTTTCAAAACCTCCGCTGTAATTCCATCCTCGCCTGGAGCCTTCTCGTTTTTAAGGTGCTGGATAGCCATTCTAATCTCGTTCAGACCGACGTCCGGAATATCATCGGAATAGTGTCGGATAAGACTCGCTCTTGGATCGTTACCAGGGGCGTAGCTACCGCCGTATCAGCCGTATCAATGATACGGGGCCCCCGGGCTACAGGGGCCCCAAACATGTGTGAGCAAAAATTCCAAGGACTTCTATGGGACAGGAAAGGCTATCACTATTGTCTATAGAAGTAAAGAATTTAGTAAAACTGAAATCGTCTTCAGCTATGAATGCAGCCGAATCTTCTTCAGCTGTGTTCGCCGAACAAAAGGCACGAAAAGTGTATATTTGATTTGAATTGTTTGGCTAGCTTAGGTCCTAGGAGTATTAATTGTAAGTAATAACTCAAAAACCCGTGTAGTGGCACGGGTGGCAGTGGAGAAAACTCACTACCCTATATCTTCCCGTGGGTGTCGTAAAAGGCGACAGAGGGAAACTGAGGCAGACGATGGGCAGCAGCATCTTTCTGATAACAGCAAAACAACAATAAAAAAACTGCGGTTACCAACCCGCTCGCCAAGCGTGGCAACTATGGCAATATAACCCCCATGAAAGTAACGAAGAGATGGCCCCCAGTCCCCGACGGCCCCGCTATTCCTGGCTACGGTGGCGACCATGGTAACGGCGGGGCAGGAGGTGCTAAGAATCTCCGGTGGAGGTTCTGTTGCCACCTACGACGACTCGATCTGGCAACTTATAACGCACGCACCCTGAGGACTGACGAGAAGATCGTGGAGCTGGAAGAAGAGATAGACAAGTTGCGCTGGAATGTCATAGGATTATCCGAAGTCCGAAGAGAGGGGGAGGACACGGTAATCCTCGAATCCGGCAATTTGTTCTATCACCAGGAGGGCAACCATCTGTCCCAAGGAGGTGTCGGATTTATCATCCACAAATCTCTTGTTAACAACGTTGTAAAGATTGGGAGTGTGTCGACAAGGGTTGCGTACCTTATACTCAGAATCACCAAACGGTATTCGCTGAAGGTCATACAGGTTTACGCACCAACCTCGGAACACCCCGATGCGGAGGTGGAGGACATGTATGAGGATATCTCTAGAGCCATGCATTCCTCTAAAACCTACTATACGGTGTTAATGGGAGACTTCAACGCAAAACTAGGCACAAGAGAGAACGGTGAGCTGAAAGTAGGGAATTTCCGGAATAGAGCAACGAAACCCAACGGGCCAGCAGCTGGCCGACTTCATGGTGAAAGAGGGACTCTTTATGATGAACTCTTTCGTCCAGAAGCAGCCCCACAGGAAGTGGACCTGGTCGAGCCCCGACGGTTCGACAAAAAATGAGATTGACTTCATTATGACGACCAGACGACAACTGTTCAGTGACTGAAACCGGTAGCGATCACCGAATGATGAGAGGCACACTGAACCTAACCGTTAAGTTGGAGAGGTCACGTCTAATGAAGTCAACGCTCCGTCCCTCGTGCTCTAATCCAAAGTCCCGAAACCTGTCAGTTCGAGCTACGAAACAGTTTTCAGTGCCTAGAAGATTGCAATGCAGTGGACGATATGAATGACAAGCTCGTGGAAACTGTCCATACGGTCGGAGCTAAGTTTTGCAAGACCCGCCGCAGAAGAACACAAAAAATCTCCGATTACACTCTTGATCTCATGGCTGTTAGACGGAATATGAAGCTGCAGTCTTCAGTAGATTTGACAGCATACAGGCAGCTGAACCGACAGATCTCCAAATGCATGCAGTGGGACTTACGCAACTTTAATACTGTTCGTATTAAAGAAACGAGCGGAACTCAAAAGTCTTTGCTAGAGATCTGT